GATTGTAAAGCGTTTAGAGGCTTGCAATAATTTATTATCATTTATTCAACGGATGGGTGAACTAATCTTGATCATTCATGATCCCTCGAAAGATCCTGTTTATTTCTACTATGTAAGTCCTAGCCAGAATTAGATAGGGTCCACTGTTTTAAATTCGTCCTGAGCATCTCCTCTGCTAGGCTCTATCAATTTGGTTTAAGGTAACGTTCTGTATAAAACTATGAGTGCATATTTCCATTGCCGTCCTTGAATAGATATAAACGAGCGTCAGGAATGGCTTTATGATCTTTCGCCAATCATTAGTCACATGATAGTCACGAGACCGGTCCTGGAGAATTGATCCCTCTGTGGTATTAAGAAATAAAAATGAGAGTAACTGTATAACACTTCTGGATAGTCCAGCTTGGCGCATGAATTCCCCCCACCCTCCCCCCTTCCTTCCACTGCCCTTTTAACCACCACCTCTGCAAGGTCAACACCACTTTATTACTTATTTGTTAGAACTTTCGTAACAGTTCGTTTTCTACAGTCTAGTTATATGAAGGAACTCTCCATCATATAAATTACATAGATAGGGAGCTACATCATAACGATCTTTTGATTCCAGCAAGCCAGCATGTCTTCACACCAGCATATCTTCACTTTATCTTTTTAGTGTTAGCCGAAGACGAACAACAAGGTTTAGCAGCTCTCAATGAATTTCGACAAGTACATGGGGTTCCTGCGATGACACTGGACAGAGAAATGTGCGATGAAGCTGGTCAGTACGCCAGGCGGCTTACACGCATGGGTACTCTTAAGCATTCAAAGGATGAAGAAAGACATGGCCAGGGAGAAAATCTATCAATGGGATGTTCATCAGACGCTTCACCGCAAACCGCTGAGCAAGCCGTGAAAAGCTGGTGGGCTTTTTTTTACTTCTTTAATCAGGTTTTCGAGGTGTTGTCTCGAAGTTTTACCTCTTAATTAAATGCTCCAAATCAGATACAACGGATCGTGCATCATACGTAAAATGCTCCAAAGACAGATGTCAATTATCAGGGTAACTGAAATCTCATTACAGGGACTCGTTATCACAACCTGGACTAATTCTTAAAAACTTCGTCTTAGAAATGCTCCGGCTCAGCGTTTTAGAAAAAATGATTTGCGACGGTACTAAACGAAGGACTCTATACCAAAGACTTGCTTAAAGCAGAGAACTTATTTTTAGAACCAGTTTGAAGTGAGAGGGGCCAAAAGTTTGGAGATTCGATCCCTTCATGTATAGGCATTTATTCCAAATAGGGCAATGAGGAGGACTTGGTCAACTATTTCAAAGAGCTTCTTTTCCTTTCAGATCTTTAAATATAAATCTGAAAATGATACAGTCCCCGCCTGCGTTGCCATCATCCACCAAGGTGGCGTTCAATGCCGGGTTATGACAGTTTCGCTAACGTCGCCTCATTTAATAAAGCACCCAGTTTTTGAAAACTCTGAGCATTGCGTAATAGTGGCCTGTGCAAAGAAACAGGTAGCTCATACCGACGGGTATGGCTGGTGACCGGGTACCCACGATGCACTTACTTGTACCAGTAAAAAAAAATAAAAATAACGCTTTTCATTGGGTCAAGAAATGAAGCATGGCTGAGAGGCGGAGCCTTTCTCCGCCTCATTACCTTCTTACCGTTGCCCAATCAACCAGCTTCTTTTTTTCTTTTATTTCCCTACCAATTTACGAGCACAGTTTTGTCCAGGGCTGATCAAAGGATAACAAGTGGTTCATTATAAGGTTGTTGAGCCTAAATATTTGCCTTTGCAAATTATATAAATTACTTTTCCGTTTGTTTTTTTTCTTCCCTTCTCTAACATCTTCAAGGTACAACAAAGTCTGTCGTCCGGGATACGACTTTCATACCCTCTCTTTCAGCGCTGGAACAGGCCATTTCACTCAAGTAGTGTGGAAAAAAAGCATAGTCCTTGGTAATGGATTAGCTTCAGAAAAGTAAAACGGCATGAACTGTGCGTATATTGTGGCTAGATATAGACCGGCCGGGAACATGATGGGAGAGTTTACCCAAAATGTGCCGGAACGAATCTTTGATAGGGACAGCTATTGTGCAACAGTTAAGAGGCATACGCGCCTGGACAAGCAATGGAAGGCAGCTTTCGTTAACAATTCAAATGCCACAGCGGGTTCGGCTGAGCTTCGCGGCCAATTTGAGGAACAATGAAGCAGCAAGAAAGAAAATATTGCCACAAAAAGACAAAAACAATCAGCGATTATTGTTATGCTATTTCGTTTTCATTGTTTCTCTTATACTTTGAAAACACATACAAATAAAAGCGTAAACAAACCATGGCAACCACTGCAAGACAAACCAGGACAAGACTTTGCTCGCCCGACATCTATTTTATCTTACACTATACCAACAATGTATCGAGAAGCCCAGCTCAAAAAGGAATTAACCATGTTTGTGATGAGAAATATGACCTTTCTTTTTGCTGTTTAACAGCCCGAGGTCTTCGCCTCGTGGCTTCTTAAACCCAGTATGTTTAGCGTTCAAGCCATCCCTGGGCGGAGGAACTACAATGAGAAGAGGAAAGCAAACAGAAGCAATTAGCTCTCTTTAAGACTTACACTTTCCAGAGTTTATGGAAACTTTGATTTTCCACCTTGGAATGCGAAATAAAGATTAAATGAATAGCCATTCAGTTATGCCATAAAACCAAACCAGTTTTTGTATTAGTAGTCATTTTACATCATTAGCACTAGTAATCGCGTAATTTCTCGTGCAATTTGGAATAGTGAAGCATCAGTATTTTTTCCAAAGGCTAGAAACATTGCACGAGCCATAAAGCGCGTTCAATTCACAGTCTAAAATATCAAGAAGTTTTTCCTGAGGCAATTACTACAATTAAGGAGAAATTCCCGGTGTCTCCGCCAATCAGCACTCTTGCTCTCTATGTTATAACTAGTGTAACACAAAATAACCAAAAAAATTTGACAAAGGCATCATTTCAGCAGATTTACAGCGCAAAAAAGCTAGCCTCGTGTTCGTAACCACCAGATGCAAATCGACTTGTTTATTAGCCTTATCGGATGCCAATTCATTACGTCGAGGCAAAGAAATCGAAACAACATACCTTTCCATCCAATTGGCTGTTGCCTCCCATCTCCCAGACTTTCAGTCCCCACCGTGCCTCCCATTGTGGGAGAGGTAGTTGGCTCTAGTGCGGCACCAGCTGCTCCCTCTGCAGGATTACCAATCCGACATGTCAAGAGAACATGAGAAAAACGTTTGTGCTAGTTGGTTCTTTGTATTTATAGAGGATAAGTGAAAGCAAAAAGCCAAAATATAAAGTAAAACAGTTTACCAGTACCTCCTCCTAGACCTTCTGATCCCTCTGCGGGAAGAGCCCCTCCCTCCTGGCCACCTACTCCTTCTACTGGACCTTCTGGAGGAGCAGGTATACCTGCTCCAAATCCTCCTTCCGAGCCTCCTACTTCTCCTACTGGGCCACCTTCGCCTCCCACTGGGGCTCCTAGACCTCCTGCTGCGCCTCCCACTGGGGCTCCTATACCACCTGCTGCACCTCCTAGCCCTTCTGCTGGGCTAACTGCGCCTCCAACTGGGGGCGCTAATCCTCCTACTGGGCCACCTACTCCTCCCACTGGGGCTCCTATACCTCCTGCTGCGCCTCCCACTGGGGCTCCTATACCACCTGCTGCACCTCCTAGCCCTCCTGCTGGGCTAACTGCGCCTCCAACTGGGGGCGCTAGTCCTCCTACTGGGCCTCCTAACCCTCCTACTGGACTGACTGCGCCTCCTCCGAGGCCACCTGCAAGGCTTCCTACACCTTTGCTGCTTTTACTCTTACCAGATAAGCCAATTGCCTTACTTGCTGTGCCAACCACCTTACCTGCTACCTTTCCTACCTTTGTTCCCTTCAAAGCTATGCTTCCAACTTTCGCTGCCAGGCCTAATAATCCATAAGGTTTCTGTTGGCTACCCACCTCTTCCGCCGGACCTCCTCCTGCGGGTCCTACCCCTCCTGCCATCCCCTCATCGGGTCCTCCAGCTCCTGTTCCCATCCCACCAATTTGTCCTACCGGTCCCTCGATGTCAACTTGTAGATTTAATCTGGTTGCGCCGTTTTTTTTTATTGTCCCAGTGCCAGAAATAGTTAATTCAGAATCTTGGCCCACCTCTGAAATAATCAATAAATAATACGATTTTAATGAGCATACTTAATTTTCTTTCTCTTTCTCGGAGAAATTAGCTCTATAGCTACTCTGGTAAATCCGAGGTGAAATAAAGGTGATGTATGTATGTCAAAGCGATTGCGATTTTGGACCACGACTTTGTCTAGGTCAATAAAAAAGCAAGTTGGTCATTAGTAGTCAGCTTTCTTTATCGAACAAGCTTAGATTATTTCAGTTTTCCTACATGGCCAAAACCGCCGATGAGAGTTCACAAAAGGGTTGCGAGGCGAATTTAGGGAACTCGTCAGAATATTTTTTTCTGCAGAATTAAAGATTGTTTCGAAACTCGTAATCGTTTTGGATGGTCATGGGCGCAATTATTTCATCAAGCTTCAGAAAAGCTGAGTGGTAGTCGAGATTTTATATTTAAATGGCCGCAACTGAAATAAATATATCTTATAATTAAAAACTGGATCATTGGATAATGCAATTCAAGACTTTTTATTGGCTTAGCCAT